CGTTCACAATGAATGTTTTTGCTTCACAATATTATTAACAATAAAAACAACTGAAAAAAAATCTAATCTAACCTTCTATAAAAAATGTAGTTAAGAATCTACTATATTTTTATGGATATTTTACAGCATCCACCCTGAAAGCCGAACAGGTCAACCATCCGAGTACTCATCAGAGAAAGACGGACAGAGATGGGCGGGGGTCTAAAAAGTTAAATCGAAACTCTGCAGCGCAAAACCTGCATTCTAATTTGAAGCAAAGGAAATGAAGCATAGGCCATGCGGCTCTCCGCAAATTTCACGCTTCACTGACGCAAAGCAGCTGTCTATCTTTTACTCTGACTGAGGCATCAGGACATTGTTTTAATCATTTATTCTCCTTTTATTTGTATATATTCTTTTAATATGTTAAAAAAAACATTTATATGGTTCTTGATCGAAAATGAAAATAAAATACGCGATTCAGCACTCCAAATACTGAGAAAATCAACGGAGATGCCCTTTCTCCTCAGGCCAGATACATGTGGGTTATTTTAATGGCCAGCAGGACGGATGAGTCCTGCTGAAGCGCTCTTAAGGCAAAATAACAGCTCCTACTAGCCCAGCTGGCCTCTTTTTGACTTGACAGTAACCTCATACATGTTTATGGTCAGTTGTTACGTACCCCGCAGGAGTGCCGTCGTTGCAGGTGACTGATGTGTTCTCCAAAAAGTTCAGCCTCATGTCGTAGTCAAGCTTTTGCGCCGAACAGGGGTAAAGGGACTGCGCAAGGTTCTTCACTTGTGTCATGAAGTTATCCATGTTCTCCTCCACCGCGGTGAAATCCAGAGGGAAGCTCTCGGTGGTATCACCCCGGTCTGCCCGGTATGTGGGAGGAGGCGGTGAGCGTCGCGGTTGTGGGTTGCGGCCACCCCGAAACCTCCGTGCGCAAAGAGCTCCGGACTGCATCAGTACCAGCAGCAGCACTGAAGAAACCACTCTGATCAGTGTCATCTTTGTGACGTCCTTTCTCCAAATTCTCATTTAAAACAAAAACAAACAAAAAAAAAAACACTTGTCAGCTTCCAAAAGAGACAAATTAAATGTCAGGTAAAATCAAAAGTCCTCTGAGACCACTTGTAGCCACCCGCTGAAATAACTGGAAATACTTTCAGGCTTAATTTTGGTTTTCTTTCACGAGTGCGCCTACAACTCTTTCCTCATCTGTCTGGTACAACTCAAGCCCTCCTGGACCAAGCACACAAGCTTGAACGACAACACTGGTGCCATGCGCTTGTTTTTTATTCAAACTTTCCCCCCTTGTGTGACCGTCCAGCCAATCACAGGAACGGGGCAGGACTCAGGGCATGATCAAGTCTGGCAGACTAACTCCCCCCCCCCTATTGCCAAGTGTTTGCTCATTATTGGATCGTCTTTTCTTATGGGTTTTCTCTCTGTTCCCCCCCCCCCTTTTTTTTTTTAATTTATAGAGGGAAAAAAATGTCCATGCGTTGGTTCTTTTGATCCGCAATGTTTTATTTGATGTGGTGGCTTTTATTGGCCTTGAAATGCCCATTTCCCATTCCACCACAAATTTATGAAGTGAGAATATGCATCTTGTTACACACTTGCTTGAAAAAAACAAAACATAAACTGGCAGAGTTGCATCAATATTTAGCCAGGTTATTTTTAAGAGTTTACCTATTATAATTTTTTAAAATTATTTTTCAACACTTTTAAATGTAACTTAAAAGTAAAAGTTGATCATTTTTCACAGAACACGTCTGTTATCGCTACTCCACACCCCACCTGGGAAAGAAAAGTGCAGACCTCTTAAAAATAAAAAAAAATAAAAAATCAGTTCCAGTTCTGATGAGTTGAGTTGCTCACGTTTTGCTTTAGGTTTAGAAAAAGGGACTTAGACACCACCACCCCCTCCGCCCCCCAACCCCTCCTTTTTTATCCAGATGGGGCCTCCAAAAGATCAAAGCAACCATCACTCTTTCTCCCCCTCTTTTCACCTCCTCCCTCCCACTTCAGTCTCTTCCAAACTTTCCTGCTCTACTGTATATTTTAAGTCGAGCAGAGCATCCTGATGGGAAGCCAGCTTTTTAACACAGGAATGCCTCGTTACAGTTGAGGTAGGCTTCCCTTGAACAACCTCTCATTTTAAGGACACATTTAAGTTAAAGTGTAGCCCACAGGGCAAAAGGGATCGTTCATCAAAGTGAGGCTTCATGATGGTGTTTTGGTGACGTTTGTCGTTTTGACTTGAGCTCATTGGACAGGACATTACAGGGATTTCTAAAGTCAACCGAATATTTTTAACAACACTTACACACACTTTTATATTTATTTTCACAGATAGTATTTTTGTGACGCTACACCACTTTTTGTCATGCCCACGAGAGTTCTGATGTGAACTCTAGCCTTAGATAGCTTATTGATTAGCGCTGTATCAGCTTTGTGGGAGCAGGATTAGGATAAGCCCGTGTTTTTAATACAATCTCCTCATACCAACTCATCACAATTTTCATAACAATCCACGAAGGCAAGAGCTCTGAAATAGAAAACAGAACTCCAAGACTTATTACGACGCATTGCCGAGAGAGGGCTGCAACTGCTTGGAAACTGGCTGGTCAAATTGTGGTCACACTTTAACCTCCATGTAGCCAAATAGTTCTTTTTTCACATTATAGACTTTGCAATAGATAGTTTCATTTGTGTAACTTGTAAGAAAGTACTCTCTGAACAATTAAATTAAACTGCTGAAATAAAGTTAAAATAAAGTGTACAAGTTAGATGGATCAGGTAGACGTAAAACACAGAACACCATCAGTCTAAAACAGCTTGACATCGTCTCAGAGAGAGCCTCCCGCTCACTGTAGCCCCATGGTTAATCAGCGTGCCGAAAGAATGTCAAACTGTTTTGAGCCAGGTAAGATGGATATGAAGTCACCACCAGGACGGATGGTATTAATTGGGAACTTCAAACAGAGGCTTGTATAGATTAAAACATGTGGTAGGGTCCAGGAGAAGTGGCTCTGTCACAGACTGAGGCCAGTCACTTTGACCCATACCGCCCTGTTTTATCACACGTCATTCTCAAAAATGTAATCCTTAAATCACTCGCAGATGGACGTCGGCCCCTGACACACTCTCTAACGTGAGGAGATGCCCTGGTGGTGAAGCATCGTCTGACTGAAGAAGTGAGAGCTGCAGATGCTCTCGCTTTGAGGGTAGAAATCTGTAGATTCAAAGAGCGAATGTAAAGGCTTTCTCATTTAATTTGAACAAAACAACTCAAGTGCTGGAGACAAACTTTGAAACACCAGGCAGTCCTGCTACTGTTGGTGCATGGTGGCTTGTTCTCTGCTAAGTACCTTGTTTGAACTCCAAGTATTAAGCTCTTCTGGCTTTCACTTGTAATTCTCTCTCTCCCCTTTTCCTTGCCTCCCATTCTCTTTGCGTAGCATAGACACAAATTTTGAATGGATTAATCCTAGAATTAGGTCATTTGAAAATGACCCAGCTGTTCTGATGGCAGTCCCTCAGAAGTGCCCCCGTAGCCCCCACCCCAACCCCAGGCCTCCTGTGAAAGTCAAAGCTTGTCTTTCATCTCCGATCAGTTGCATGTGCCCTCACAGATCCACAGGTTTTACTGCTTAAGTCTGGGCTGGCAGCATTGATCATGTGACCATTGCCTGCCTAGTGTTTATACACATCATAGCCCCGTCTGTCTACACAGCCTGCCAGTTCTGCTCACACATTCCCGTCGTCCATCTCGCCTTGCCGGGTAGTTTTGATTCGCACATGCTGTTGTCGAGGATCCATCCGCGATCATCAAATCCTGCTAGTTGGAACTGTTAGGTCAGGTTACATCAAAGAGATCAGGAGGGATCAGCCTTTTGAAAGGGACATGCTCTGGCTCACATCATCAGAAACAGGTGGAGGTCCTCATCAGGAGAACAAAGGAGAGATCGCCATCTATAAAACTTTTATATTTCATAGAAGAGTTTCTTTAAATTCCCACACACAACCTACACAGCACCAGTATAAAACACATGATGGCAGGTCGGGCATTGCGGGACTGAACCAAAGTACTAAATTCCACCAAGGTCACAACAGCAAATCTTATGTCTTAGTGCTATTAAGCCACAAAGTGTTTATGTGCAGAAATCTGCTAATAAAAGATGACAGAAGGAGAACTAGAAATTTGTTCATGTGTTACGAATTAGCTGAAAAGCTGACAGACCCTTCAGCAGATCTGTATATATTGTAGTAATGACTCTTAATTTTTCATCCTGCCAGTAATATAACACCAGATATGGAAATTTCCTTTAGGTGCTTGTCATTGAGGAGACGTGCACTTAAAAAGAAGACTAATATTGGATGTTTTTTAATGCAAATATATAGATTTCACGACAACTTCACTTATAAGTTGATATGACTGTAACGCTAGAGGGCTTTGACGTTGCGCCCCTGCGAAAACGCTTTCAGCCTCGGCTTCTGTTCTGTGTCACCTTGAGGCAAACCTCCGGAAGCAGGCCCCCTTAATTTCATGTTGAAGCTATTGTTTAAAACCCAAAACAAACATGTACAGAGGTTTTTTGGGTGTTAACACACCGTGGAGTTCCTTTCATGTACCCTCACCACATGTTCCTGATATTACCCAGACAATCGGTAAACAACCTTGATCTCGACTTAAGTCAAGAGGTGCCATCTAAGATGTGAATGTAAATGGGGAGTAAGAGAGTAAGAGAGGCAGGAGACATCTGTCGAGCAGGCTCTCATTTTGTAAGAGGAGGCGGTCTATTGGTTACAGATGATGCCCTGTTTGATAAAAATGAACTCTTTCAAGATAGGACAGCTTGCGTTTGGGGTCTCTCTGGCACTGAGGGGTAATCAAATAGTTCAACTGACAGGTCAGCTGCTTGTTATTCATCTTTCATCTGAGTGACGGTCACAAAGTAGCTGCTGTTGCCTCTATACATTTCTGTCACGTCATTGGTACTAAGCAAGATGGATGTTTGCGTTTGTCAGGGCGGGTGCACATGCGTGTTTCACGTCTCGGCGTCTGCATGTGTGTAGGAATGTGTGCTGGAGGATGACTGAGGTGGACCAGGTTGTGTCGGAGGCACCGGTGCGCGAGCGTGCGGCCTTCCTCCTGGAGTTTTCCACTCGTGCCTCGTGCCTGAATCACCCTTTTCAATGCCCTCTACCTGGTAGTGACGGAGGAGGGAACGCAGAGCAATTACTATTCGAGACCTGCTATTATTATCATCAGAGAGGCGGCAGCCCTCCTGCCCCTGCGCCTATTCTCCTCTCGAGCGAGACAGAAGGAGAATCAGTCCCTTTAGTCTCGGAAATGTTTATTTATGCCACAGTTGTGCCAAAGGACATGGAAAAGCCCTTATTACAGGTCATGACAGTAAAGCCACAACACATTATTCACTTTCCGTCCCTTAACCTGGTATTCTCTATGGGGAAATTCTTTTGAAGTCCACACCCTGTTGTAAAACATGGTCGTTATTCAGTTATGTGAGAGCTGCATTTGTAGCTGTTTTTTTTTTAAGTTGCAGACTTTAAAGCAGCCGGGCAGGAAGACTTGAGAATCCCCATAATTATTTGTTTAATCTTGGTTTTATGAAGAATTAAAAATATCAAAGAGAAAGAGCTGTTGACATGCAACATAAATCTGATTTGTGAAAAACCGGTAATGCCAGTTTGGAGGGCATTGATTAAAAAAAAGTCTTAAGGGTAATTTTGGACCAGATTTTCATGTCTGAGACAATCAGCCCATCTTCTGACTACACAATCCACTGAACCACTGGGACACCATTTGCACATGATACGTGGCTCATTATTTCCGACACTCTTTTAACACCAAGCAGCCGTTTTCTTTTATCCTCTCGCCACGAAGACGAGGCTACTGTAATCAAAGAAGACAATGATCAGTGCCAGCCTCTTGGCCTGGACTGGTACCTGCTTTGATGTCATATTTCGGTGTAAAGC